ATTTTAATTATGAATTATTAAATAAAAAATATTTGTCCAAACATGATAATGGTTAACCGCTGCTCTTTTCCACCAAAAAATATTCTTATTACTCACCTCGCTACTTGTACGATATACGTTTAGATAAAATTTACGAAATTTTTATACTTGTTAGCAGTCATGAATATCTTTTTTAAAATAAGATTCTTTCAAAATCATTCATTAAAATATATATATATATTCTTCCGTATATTTATAAAGTTTCATCTAATTTAAAGATCAAAATTAAAAATAATTTATATATATTTTCCTCTTTTATTTATTTTTTAAATAAAAATTATAACAAAAAAAGCCTCAAAATGAATAATAGTTCTAGAATTGATTTAATTATGTCATCATAATAAATATGAGATCGGAACACTCTCAATATTTAATAATAACATATTATTTACATATATATATATATATCATAAAATATTAATATAAATAAAGTTAATCTAAATTTTAATTCTTTAAAATTATCATTTTTATCATTAATAAAAAAATTTAATAATTTTATTTAAAATAATTAATAAATAAAAAGTATTAACGTATATAACGGGTTGAATATCATGGTCTTGTAACTCCCCCATTAATAAGTGGTAACTAAAATACTCATATTTTTTTATCCTTGTACCTCTCCTATTAATAAGTGGTAACTAAAATACTCATATGTGAGTATCTATTTAACTTATTTGTTTAGTAGTTGTGGTACAAATTTTTTTAAATAAAATAAAAAAAATATTTAAATAAAATAAAAAAATAAAATTTAAATAAAATAAAAAATAAAATTTAAATAAAATAAAAAATAAAATTTAAATATATTAATAAAATTAATTTTTTATTTTAAATATAAAGATTTTATATATAAATTATAATAAAACAGATTTATTCAATTCAAAAATAAAAATTAAAAACTTATTTTTTTATTATTATCGCTATTATTTTTTTAGTAATTTAATAATTTAAAATAATAATTTATTTTAATTATTAAACCTTCAAATAGATATTAAAGATTTATTTTTATATTTACTCTTAAAAATAAGTAAATGACTTATCAAGTTAATTTATAATACATATTTTTTAAATAATATTATTTTATTTTTATTTGAAAAATAATTATTATTTTATAAAATAGATCGATATGAGTTAATTTTGATATAAATTGATGTAAATCATAATCTAAACAAATTGACTAAAAATAAGTTTACTTCAATTTAAATTCCACTCATTCTTATGTAATATAATTTATTTCTTATATCTACTCATCAAATTAAATTTATTTTAACAAAATTTCCTATAAAAAAATATATAAAATTAAGTTATATTACAAGTTAAAAATAATAATTTAAATAATATATGAGAAAAAACTTTCACAGTTTGTATACAAGTTATTTTTTTCTTCTATATTTCCTATGAAAATATCCATTCAAAGATAGTTTGTTTGAATGAATTTCTCCGTTAGATTTCGGAAAGTAAAAAAAGAAAAACAAAACTTTATAACTAAAATTAACTAATGTACAAATTAAAAAAAGGCATATGAAATATTTTTTTTTGGCATTTAGGTTCCTAAAATATTTTTTTAAGCAAGTGAACTCCTATAGTTTTCCTTATACATGTTTGATTTTCTATTCCTTAACTTTGTTGCTTGATGAATGAATGTATAATAATAGCATTAGATGTTGTCCAATGTTGTACGTTGGATTCTTGTTAATAAATAGCTAGTTTTATTTGTAATTATTTTGTTGTTCCACAAGTATATAGATATCATTTAGTATAAATTGAAATTTAATCATATATAAGTTGAAATTGATCTATCTATTGAAAACATCAATTGCAATAAATTATGAATAACTAAATGTAATATTATGGTTCATATCGGGATCAAAATAAACTTAATAAATATAATTATAACCAAATAACTAAGATAAAAAAAATAAAAAAATTCATGCATTGGTTAAAAAAAAAAACATTTCAATTACTTCTTCCTTAGTTTCATCTATTTGTAACAACTTCAAATGAAACATGAATAATTTACTAAGAATTTTAGTGTGAGTTTAAAGTTGTACATTTAGTAAAAATAGAAAAATTGAGTAACTTGAGAAAGACGGATAATTTAATGTCTTAAGATTTTGGATGGAAGGTGGTATCATATTCTCTTATATGATTGACTCATCACCTATTTGTCAGAATCTCTCCATTGTTATTGTCCTCCAAAAAATTAAATACAATTGTTATTCTAGTTTTTTTTTTCTTTTTTCTTAAAAACTGCATTGCTTATCTATAATATGACATCTCTAACATTGGGCTTCATTAAACATGTTTTTACACTTTTTTTTTTTTATTTGCATCCTTGAATATTGGATAACAGTTAACATTGTCATTGTTCATCTATCAACGCAGTGAGTAAGAAAGAGTGAGAAAAATATGAATGTGCCAAGAATCGTATGGCAAAAGCCCAAAAGTTTATGCTAAACTATGCTTAATACCCTCCAAAAGATGATAGTTGAAAGTTGAAATGGACATGATTAGCTTTAGGCTGGAACTATAATCTGTTTCTCCTTTCTCCACGACACAAACATGGAGATTGAAATCTGTGAAGGTTGAGTTGCTGTTTTTTATTCTTGCAGCATGTTAGGTTAATGTTGAGTTGTCTAAGTCAATGATTAGTGAGTTCAATGTGGTGCCTATGGAATTGCTAGCCACATGCCTAATCTCTCAAACCAGCAAAATCTTGGGACCATGTTCTTGTTTTCAACAAGTGAAGTTGGAGGGAATTCATAATTAATCCATGCAACTATGCTTTATGCCTGCATGAAAACTATACCCCCATCATACCTTTAGACACTACAACTTTAAGGATTGTTCTAGATTTAATAAAGGAATGGCGGCAAAGCTAGTATACTAAGATTGATTTACGAAATGCATGAATTGAGGCCCCGAAGGTTTCTGTATTGAATGACCTTTGTTAAAATTATTATAATTAAATATATGAATTTTTTTATTCTCTTAGACATGTGTACATAATTGAGAGTATATTAACTTAAAAATAAATTATTTCCACTAATTTAAGTTCTTAATCCGTCACTCTATAGTAATATAGATTAATAACACTCTCATCGACGAGTTATTCATTCACATAAAATATGCAAATCTTTTAAAATGAAGACATTCCATGTTTTATTTTTAAAATAACATAAGACTAAAAATTAAATAAAATAAACTTAAAAAAATTTACAATTAAAAATTTATGATATAAAATTAAAAGGTTTTGTATGAGAAAAATTTAATAATTTAGTTATAATATATTAACAATGTAAAAAAAAGTCGTTCATAAATTAAGTTATAAAAAATATAAAAATAAGTCATGCTTTGTTAAAATATTGTTTTAATTATTTTTTTTATAAAATACATGGTTAAATTTATTAATATATTTATTTGTAAATTTTATAGAAATATAAATATAAATTAAATAAGATATATAAATATTATTTTAATGGAAACGACGTATGATATTTAAATAAGATATGGGATCCGGATGTAATTTTTCATACAATAATCGGTTACAATACACTGTCTTCATTCTCTTCTTCTTCTTCTTTTTTCTTTTTTTAAGTTCAAAATGTAATATAATAAAAAAATCTTTAGAAAATAAGAATTTATAATATACTTTTAACCAAAAAATATTTACTCTCTGTACATTAGAAGTTCATATCCTATTGAATATTTCCAATTACCCAAATAATATTTTATCACTTTAATTGAACATGATTTTAAAAGAAAAACCATAATATATAATTATTTACATACTAACATATAATTAATAATGTTGAATTGAGATCCAACCATTTATTCATAGACGCGTGTGGTCCGGTTCATTGACTTTATTGTATTTTGTTATTTACTTTATTTCTTTCTAAATTTTGCATTTCTATTCTTTCTTATTTTAAATTTTTCTATTTTTTGTTTTGTTTCTTATTCCGATATAAAATTCATTTCTTACTAAAATATTTAATAGATATATGAATATAAGTACAAATATAGATAAATATTTAAGAGATGTATAAATATAGATAATGATTGCAGTATTAACTCCCTATTACTGTATTATTAGCTTTGTTGGTGTCATCAAGGATTTGTTTTTCTTTCACAAATTCTGAGCTTAAAATGTTATTTGAAAATAGCTTTTTTTTTTTTAAATAAGAATTACAATTACTTGTAGGTAAGAAGTTGGCTAAAAAAGTGAATGTGATTACCACTAACAATATGTTTCCTTTTTATGCTATCAATATAAAAACTTTTTATAGTAAACTTATTAAATAATTATTTTTATCCTTATTGAATATTTTGGAAGCAACATTACTATGATGTTTTTCTTTATTGGCGAAAAGGTGTATCTAATGATCAAGTCCAAACTAAAGCATAGCTGTAATATAGAGTGTGTTGAAAGTACGTAATAATAAATGTGTAGAATATTACAGAAAAATACTTGCCATTTTCTTATCATATTTACATGCAAATATTAAATATTACATATTTGAGAGAAGAGTGAGATATAAACTAGAAACTGATGTTTTTCCCACCCTTCAATGTAAACCATCAAGTGAGTGGGCGAGAGGCTCGGAACCAGGTTTGGTGTAGCTTTTTCACGTCAATATTAGAAACGGGAAACTACACCAACAAAGAAAAAAATATGCCCTGAGAGAACATTTTCAAAGCCATTTTCTATCTACTTTCTACAATTCCTTGCCTTTCTCTGTGATTCTGCAGCAGCTCTTCTCAGAATCACAGGGTGCATACGGTTCATTCTTTTTTGGCTTTCTATCAGAATTTAGCTAAATGATGGTGTCATTTTGACCATGATCCAAGTTCTTCATGGAAGGCTTGGATTATATTCTTTAGTTAACGTCTTGGATTTGCATTAGATTCTGGTTGGAATTTTTGGTTGTTGTTTTTGAGTTGGTGTTGGTTGAGGCCTAGTCATGGCGTCAGAGCTAGCCTTGCCGTTCTCTGTTGTATCTGTGGTAGAAGATATTCTTCAGACGCATGGAAGCCGTTTAAGCGACATTGACTTGGCGTCAAGGAAGGCTGAAGAAGCTTGTACATATCCTCCTCTCTCTCTCTCATTGTTCTCTTAATTTCTCCTTTTTATTTGTATTTTTCAGGAAATGTTCAATTCAATCCATTGACAATGTTGTTTTTTCGCCTAGACTAAATGACACTTGTTTGTGTTCTTTTTCAAATTTTAAGTGCAGAATTTAGATACAAGTTTCTTGGATACTTTGGTGTTATTTTCAATCAAGTTCATGTCGTTAATGTTAATATGCACAATAAAGGTTTTCATTAATGACCAAATACAAGTTATCGAAGTGAAATTCTGATTCTGATTGGACACCAATAGCAAGAGCATTTAAAGAATCACAAGTTTTGTGGTTCTTTTGATTGGTTCTAATGAACCCTATATGTTGATGGCGTAAAAAAAAAAAAAAAAGTTCGATAGATGTTAGAAAGCATGAAACTAATAAGACTAGTGTGTGGTATTGCATTTTGATTGGTTCTAATGAACCCTATATGTTGATGGCGTAAAAAAAAAAAAAAAAAGTTCGATAGATGTTAGAAAGCATGAAACTAATAAGACTAGTGTGTGGTATTGCAGCCTCAAGAAGGAATGAAGCAGCTAGCTGGCTGAGAAAGATAGTTGGAGTTGTTGGAGGGAAAGACATGCCAGATGAACCTAGTGAAGAAGATTTCAGGATTGCATTGCGTAGTGGCATTGTCCTTTGCAATGCTCTTAACAAAATTCAACCCGGAGCAGTGCCCAAGGTGAGTATGTATGTTTGCTTTTGATTCATGAAACTGAAATCTAGATTATAGTTCTTCTGCAGTATATTATTTATATAAGCATGTTATTCTCATCGGTTATCAATCACATATCACTATTACTCTCTAACAAATGACAAGGATTGAACCTGTATTGTTAGGTAGTTGAAGTTCCCTGCGATAGTGTTATCATTCCTGATGGGGCAGCTCTGTCTGCTTACCAATACTTCGAAAATGTAAGGAATTTTCTGGTATCTATGGAGGAAATGGGGCTTCCCACCTTTGAAGTTTCTGATTTGGAACAGGTGAGGCTAAAAGAGTTCATTTCCATTCATTACTTCGATACACTCAATCACTCATCGCTGCATTACTATAATGCAATTTTATTCAACTTCATTTTTTTTTCTTCCATTTACAGGGAGGACAATCTTCGAGGATAGTGAATTGTGTTTTAGCACTGAAGTCTTACAGTGAATGGAAGCTTGGAGGAAAAAATGGGTCATGGAAATATGGTGGGAGTCCAAAGCCACCAACCAATGCTAAACCACCTATTCTGAGGAGACACTCAGAACCATTCATGAGGTCTTTGTCAAAGGGTATTACGTTAGGAGATAAAGATGGGTTACTGAGTGATATTTCTTCAATCAGTGAAGTGGGGCCTGATCTCAGTGAAGGGGTTAGGGAGTACTAACGTTTATAATCATCTTTTGCTTTTGTGTCTACATGTAGAGGGTGAATATAGCATCTGACTTAAATTTTTGGTTGCGTATTCGCAGGGTTCTATTCCCTCCTTGAATTTACTAATTCGTGAAATTTTATCTGATAAGAAGCTAGAAGAAATTCCCTCTGTAAGGGTTACTGCTTATCCTTAGCTACAATATACAATTTATTGTTCACTAGTTCTTTCTAAAAAGAGTTTTTCTGTTTTTACCTTTTTATTTTATTTTAAATTTCCTCTTCTCTGAAGAGCTAATGTCTGTTGCGATTACAGGTGGTAGAGTCTCTACTTAGCAGAGTCATGGAGGAGTTTGAACAACGCTTGCTAATGCAACAAGAAATGGTGTGCTTTCTCTTTGTCTTTTGACAAAGCTCAACCTCATTAGTGACACCAATCAAAAAGAAAGTTTTCATATTATTGTTTTGGTTTGAATGTTTCCTTACGAAACTTGAGTCCACGAGTCTCACTGAATTTAATATCTAAATTTTTATTATGGCAGTTCAAAACAACTCAAGACTATAAGGCACTACCTGAAGCAGAGGATTCCAATGTGAAATCTGCTAGTGACGGTGAAGAGGTAAGTTAAGATTTAAAGAGAATTTTTTAAAATGGTCTGCAAATTGCAAAGTGAACGTACTCATATATTGCTTGGTATCATGATGCAACTTGATGTAACTTAATTCTCTGTTCAATCACTTATTAAGATGGAAGAAGATGAAGATGTGGATGTTAAAGAAAAAGAATGTGATGATGTGAAGTACAATGTCGACGAAGAACCAAGCAGCCAACATTTGAAGCAACGAGAGTTACTTCAGCAGCAAAATGAGAACGTCGAGGTAAATCGTGACAGCGTTATATATTAAATAACCACAATATAAACAAGCAACTAGAGCTAGTTTGAATGGTTTGACTTACGAGTTTTCCTAGGAAGTATATTGCCTAAAACTTGGCCCGGATTTTAAGTTAGAACGTTGTTTCTGTAATGCATTATGCATAAGATAAAGTAACCAATTTGATGTTGACAATCCTTAGGAATTGAAAAAGATGGTTCATCAAACGAAAACAGGAATGCAGGTTCTGCAACATAAATACCAGGAGGATATGATCTATATAAGTACGTATAATGCTTTAGAAAATCTAACATGTTTTACAATAATATCTATATAGTTTAGCTGATTACTACCTACCCTTAATAGGTGAACACCTGCAAGGCCTAGCTTCTGCTGCTTCAGGATATCAGAAAATTCTTGAAGAAAACCGCAAGTTATATAATCAATTGCAAGACCTGAAAGGTAAAACTCAAGTGGTCAGAGTCTAAACAACTTTTCGCCTTTTATATCTATAAATTCTGAATAAGACTAAATGGCCAAATTTGATACGTCGGTAGGAAATATTAGGGTGTACTGTAGAGTTCGTCCCTCAACAGGTCCCCAACCAGATCATCATTGCCCTGTCAGTAACATAGATGAAGGAAGTATCTCACTCTCAATACCTTCCAAAAACGGGAAAGACGGGAAGAAGACGTTTAACTTCAACAGAGTTTTTGGTCCTTCTTCAACCCAATGTTGGTCTTTCTGTTGTCCTTCCATACAAATTATTGTTACTCCATATGTTTGCTCATGGTTGCGATTTTTGTTTTCTGTAGCGGAGGTTTTCTCAGATACACAACCACTGATTCGTTCGGTTCTTGATGGCTACAACGTGTGTATATTTGCTTATGGCCAGACAGGGTCAGGAAAAACACACACTATGGTGCGGAATTTTAAATTAGACCATCTTGTTGTTTCCTCCTTGTTTTCTCCCTCTAACTTGTAACAAGTACTGACTGTCTTATTGCATCTTTATATTGATGCAGTCTGGACCAGACAATTATACTGAGGAAACAGTAGGTGTCAACTACCGCGCACTGAAAGATCTTTTCCATCTCTCAGAACAGAGAAAAGACACCATCCACTATGATATATCTGTTCAGATGCTTGAGATTTACAATGAACAAGTCAGAGACCTATTGGCGACAGACGGTGCTCCCAAAAGATATCTTTTTCTCTATACAAAAACTAGTTGTTTTCTTTTGTACTGGATTTGTGCATGCCATTTTGATCTAGTGATTATATTGGTCATGTTTGTGACTCTTTAACACTTTATACATTAGAAATTCGCAACAGTTCCCATAATGGCATTAATGTGCCAGATGCAAACCTTGTTCCTGTTTCATCCACTTCCGATGTCTTAAATTTAATGAACTTGGGACAAAAGAACCGGGCAGTTAGTGCTACTGCCATGAATGATCGGAGTAGTCGTTCTCACAGGTACAGACTAAGTTTATCTCCAACTTAAAGCATTGATTTCATTTCAAACAACATGATCCAAAAACAGAAAAAAAGTAGTCTTGGTTAACTTCATTATAGATTTTGAACGTTTTACTTTTTCCCATTATCATTTCTGTTGGTGGAAAAATCATTAACACATTTTGGTCCTTTTTTTTTTACCATGTACGTTTTCCATCACAATATTAATTGGGACTAGTTTGTAATGCTATAATTGCAGCTGCTTGACAGTTCATGTTCAAGGAAGAGAGTTTGCATCAGGGAATAGTCTTCGTGGTTGTATCCACTTAGTTGACTTGGCAGGAAGTGAGAGAGTTGATAAATCTGAGGTCACAGGAGATAGGCTAAAGGAGGCTCAACATATTAACAAGTCACTTTCTGCTCTAGGAGATGTAATTGCTTCACTTGCCCAAAAGCAATCACACGTTCCTTATAGGAACAGCAAACTTACTCAGCTACTTCAAGATTCTCTTGGTATGCTTTCGTTACTTCTATCTTAAATAATTTCTTCAATTACTACGGTTTGTCTTCACTTAGGTGTTATCTGTTAAGGAGGTGATTTGTTTATATGTACCAGGAGGCCAAGCAAAGACACTCATGTTTGTTCATGTTAGTCCGGAGCCAGATGCCATTGGAGAAACAATTAGTACATTGAAGTTCGCAGAAAGGGTATCCACGATTGAACTTGGTGCTGCACGAGTTAACAAAGATAGTCCAGAGGTCAAAGAGCTTAAAGAACAGGTTCTTACAATTTTTGCCTTTGGGTTCTTAAAAACAATTAGTACATTAATGTGTGCGTATATCACTGTTTCTGCAAATTGGGCATTTTCAACATGAATGTTTCTACTGCCTTCTTTGTCAGATTGCAAGTCTGAAGGCAGCCTCAGCCAGGAAGGATGGAGAATTGGAACAATTTTATCAGTTTGCAAATAGCATTACTGAAACTCCTAAGTCCAAATCTCAAGTGTCTTCCATTGCACGGTCACCTACTTCGTCTTATGGAAGTCGGAAGCCACCAAGAGAAGATTCTATTAGCATGGTGGAGGTAGGTAACGTATTACCAACCGTAACTCCACGGCATTAAAAATTCATCTTTGGTGTAACTAAAATTTTAGAGATAACTCTCCTTTTCTTTCCCAAAAAGTTGTCAGTAAACTGATTATGACAAGCTATCTTGAACTCAGAATAAGCTGATCTGCACACATATTTAGTAATCTCATCTTTGGACATTATGATCCAAATTTTTCGAAGGTGATTTACCTGTAGTAATACTAGGCATCTAAAAGTACAACAGGTAATAGTTCATGCAGGGAATGTGTGTAGAGGAATTGTCATTCAATCACAAGTATCATGAATAAGTTTGTTTACTTTTATAATAATCACCTTGAAAATGATATCCATCGTAATTTCTTAAATACAAAATAAAATATGTGAATGAGTGCCTTACAGATGATGTCCAAAACCCAGCGATTGATTAATGTCACACATAAGCTCTCTAAAAATTGATGTTTACATGCATGTGAAAAATGGTTTGCAGGACAAGAAAAAGGCTAGCCCCAAGCTCAAGGAAAGACGAAGCCTTGATCCCTTGTACATTAGTAGGAATTCATTACCTTGGCCACATCATGCTGAGGTAAATGGAAATGAGGATGATAAGGAATCGATTTCTGGGGATTGTATTGGTAAGAGTAGAAAAAGGAATGGCCGCTTAAGTACTGAAAATAACATCGTGGGAGAGTTTGACACAGAAAGCAAACGGTCATCTTCTCCTATGCTAAGTCCCGCGTTTCTTTTAGACCCTTCCAAAATATGCATGGAGGTGGCCACCACAAATGACTCTGATGACCTTGAGTTTGCAGCAAGTGAAAGTTCAGAATCAGATAAGAGTTGGCAATCACATGCACACATGCCTAAAATAACCTCTCTTTCCAACGGAGTAGTAGCTAAAACTAAGAAACCAGCACATCCAAGACAAGCTAAGAACCAAGAAAACAGGTATTCGAATTTAGGCTAGCTAGGTGTTGCATTTCATGTTGTTTTTGTTCTAGTCAAAGGATCATACATATTATTCAGTTACTGTTGACTTCCTTTTTATTCCACTTCTTATATCTTTTTTGTTCTGTGTGAAGGAGTGTGATCTTGTCTTCTTCATCACCAAGGAGACAATCCACCGTAGTTAGTCAACAGAGAAAGCATCTAGATGCAAAAAGAACCGGAAATGCTAAATGAGAAAGCTGCTCAAGATATTTTGTTTGTTCACCACCTTAACATTTTTGTTTGGGTTTGTGTATCTATAATTTAGTTGCAGAGAGAGGCTCTTTTTTTTTCTTTTTTTCTTTTTCTTTTTTTCATTAGAGGGGCATTAAAATAAGTTGCCTGTGTTTTCTCTGGTGATGAGCTTGAGTGCCATTCCAAATCATCTTTTTATACAAACCTGATTTTTGTGAGAAAACTCCCTCACCCTTATGTTCCTGTGCTCCTTATTGCACTAGAACTAGGAGATTGATGAATGGAAAGGAGAATAATGAACAGAAAGGCACAGGTTGATAACTTTGTTTTTGTGTTTCCCTGTTACTTAATTCTTTGTTTCCTACAACACTAACTTTTGTATGTGAACAAATGTTACCAAGGTCCAAATGTTAGGATCGGTACTTTTGAACGTGACTAATTAAGGTTTAAATTTCTGTAAAGCATAGTGTTTATGTTTAGTGATTAAGTAAAATTAAAATACTTATTTTTTAAGTTAAATTTCAATCATGGATATTTAAAATACACTAAAAGTTTTTTGTAATAATAAAAAAAAACTGACAATGCATAACCTTCACCTTATAAGCACTTAAACTTGAAAATTGTCAGATATAAAATCTTATTTTATTCTACTTTATCAACTCTTCAAAGAATTTCGTTCACATAAAATATACATTATGTTTTATCCTTAATATCTAGAATATTATCCTGATTAGATAAAGAACTTTCATTAGGGTGGAATATAAGTGTACAAATTATACAATTTTATAGATTAAAAAGGTTTTGAAAATAAAATCATTTCATAGTTCCTTAAATTAATAATAATAATAATAATAATAATAATAATAAAAATAACATATGTTAATCATCCCAAAAACAACAACTGATATAAATGGACAAAATCATAATAAAATTTCAGTTATTAAAAACAGTTTTAACTTATTCTTTCTATCTTATGCTGAAGTTTGAATAAAAGAAAATGTTTTACTTTTATTTTTATTTTACAATACTAACCAAACATCATTTTTATTATACACTTAATATAAAAACAATAAAAAAAACACTAAATATTGCATAATACTCTTTAGAAAATATCAAACATTAATTATATTGTTTTGATGTGAAATTGAGAAAGTATATAAAAGAAGGTAACAGAGGGTGAGTGGAGAGGATATAAAAATATCTTGATAAATTAGAAGTGGTATGCATAATTTTATTTTGTGTGTGATTATAATACAATAATTTAATTAAAAGTCAACAAGAGTGTCTTAAAAGGAAAAGGAGATGTAATGGGCCAAACAATGTCTAATTATTATGTGGGCCACAGATAATAGCCTTTCCAGCTGGTAACCACAGGGATACCACCTCCATGTGGCCACGTCACCATCACACTTCCCCTAAATATAGTAATTCTTAACATTTTTAATACTTTTTTTTCTTTTTACATGATTTTATAAAAAAATCATGATAATAAAATATTAAAGTTATTTAATTTTGATTAAAATTAAGATCTGATGAATGGTTTTAAAATCTTAAAGATTATTTTTTAGTGTAAAATTTCTATAACTAATTTGAGGGTTTATATATATAATATTTGGACTGTAAAATTAAGAATTTGATATTTGCGATGAAATAAAAGTCAAGTAAATAATTATTTTTATTGATTTTTTTCATTTTTTGCTATTTTATTATATGAATGATTTGTTATGGGTGTAAAATATATTAATTCTCAATATTGACATTGAAAAAAAAATTATATTACTCACTTTATCATTTTAAGTAACTTGCTTAGTTTAGAAGAGTTGAACAAAAAATTAAAGAAAGAAGGTTTAAAATTTAAGAACTTATTATTTCATCAAATATATAGATATAAAAATTAAAAACTATATTTGAAAAAAAAATAGAAATCGAAATTTTTTTCTTTTTATTATTATTTTATCAAATAAATGGTATATTTGTGAAAAAAAAATCATTCGATATTAATTTTACCTATCATTATAAAGCAGATAAAATGGAAAAACAATTAAAAAAATTTGCTAACTAATAATTGCCTAATTTTTTTTTATTGATTGAAGTTTAACATTACAAAAAGTAACACACTTTACTCAATAAACTTAATAGTCTCCGTTAATAATTAGTCACCCATTCATTACATAAAAAAGCGTTATGTAAGAGTGGAAATTAAGAAGAATTTATAATTCTTTTTCTCGATTTATCAAAACTAAATCCGAAGGTGAAGAGTATAATAATATTTTGATACGATGATTAGTTGATTTTGAAATACTTAATTTTGTTTTCGCAATGATATGGTAACGTTGAGACCACCGTTTTGACTTTTGGTTGGTTTTATAAATCTTTGCGTTTGTTTGGGTGAGTGATGACGAGGACTTGTTATATTAAGCGTGCGAATTCATGTACAGCCTCGCAATTACTCATCATTATCATCCTCATGCCTACCTTCTACAATTTTTTATTATTTTAACTTTCTAATACATTTTTAATTATTTCAGTCATTTTTATTATTAATATTCCGTCTTCCAATAAAGTGTTTCGATATGTTAAAATTAATTATTACATTTGAACCGGTCATAGTTTACTTGGATAGATTAAAAGAAAAAAAATTGTATATAAAATTATATATTAAAAAATTTATTTTTATATAAGAGATTACGATAAAAAAATTAATATATAAATAAGTATAATTCTTATTTTATTGTACTAGTTAAATAAAATTGAATTAGGTATATTAAAATTATATTCTATTTTACTATTTATTTACTGTCTTTATAAATTTAAATTATTAAATTAGCTCTATTATTTAAAATTGAATTTACATTTTTCTCTACTCCCCACCCTATTAATTTCATTTAGTAGATAACTAAAAGAAATTGATTTTGTTGCTGTGAAAAAAAAAATATAAACAAAAAACGTGATTTTGTTATATTACTTTGTGACGGAAAAATATAAATTCCTCCCTAAAAAAGAAAAGGATATTAAAAAAATGAGCAGAAAAGAATTGACTAATTGCGGATTTAATTAAAAATTGAATGAAGCAACGAGATTAAAGGACGGACGTTGACGTTTTTTGGAAACGACTGTGACAAGGAATGCGTGATTTGCTTCGACAAATCTTTGCTTCCAAAAATCACGATAGGGACTTTCCATAATTAACCCCGTTTTTATAATTACTAAAATAAAAATAGAAAAATGTTTTTTACACAAATATCCTCTTCATTATAAATTTCATAAAATAATTTCCGGAAATCATTACGTATGATGCATTTTGTTTTTAAATAATTTCATTTTATGTATAGATTTATATGCACTGTTACAGGATTTTTCCGTGTCATCTGGAGTGAAAAATATTACTAAAAAAAGCTATATATTATTATTATTATTCAGAAAAAGCATACGGAAAGAGGGGCATTGATGTAATTTTGGCGATACGACGTTGCGTTTCATGTTCCGAACTGAGAAAAAATTGAGGAGGATTAGATTTAGGAAGAAAACGTCATTATGAGGTGGTTCTCTCTCCGCGTTTCCTCTGTCTAGAAACTTTTTCTCTACCAATCTAGTAACAGAGCAAGATCCCTCCTTTTTATTCTCTCTCTCTGAAAGTGTGGTGCCACCATCCACACCCACACACACTAGGGTTTATGATATTTTCCTCCAAATGCTGAATCTTCCACCTCCACTTTTCACCTGTGAGTGTTGCTTTTCCCACATATCCACTTCCATCTTCTATTTCACTCTTTGTACATTTGAAATGCAGCATCCTAGGCTATGCATTTTCTCAGATAGCCAATTATTTATAAGATAATTGTTCAATTTTTAAAATTTTATGGGTTCGGGTAGCTATTTTAATCGCCAATTCGTTGAGAAATCGCTTCCTAATTTTGTAATTTTTTTGTAGTTTATTTGTTTTACGGAAGTAAGGCTTTGTCATGTTTTATTGTAAAATGCACGTTATCTAAGATCTGCTCTAGACTTCCGGATTTTTGGCTCCATGTATCTACTGAATATGGGAAGTTAAAAAATTAAAATATTAAATGGATCTTACTTTGAAATTAACAGTGTCATATTATAGTGTAGCCAGTATGTTGTCTCTATCGCTGCCTCTTGTGTGAGTGAATCGTGTTGCTAAATAATATTGGCATCCTAAAAGCGTGTAGATCTGCTTGAGATAGTTCAGTCCTTTGGATTTCTTTTCATTGTTGAAAATTAATCTTATTATGGCTTTTATTTTTGTGTTGGAATTTGTGTGGATGATTAGGATTTCTACACCGGGGTTCCAGAAATGTTTAATTTTGAACTATGATGAGTAGGACTGAATTATCTAATATGAAGCAGCCACCTGTCGCACTGGCAACCCTGATTGGCCGGGAGCTACGAAATGGAAAAATTGAAAAGCCTTTTGTGAAGTATGGGCAGGCTGGCTTGGCAAAGAAAGGAGAAGATTACTTTCTAATCAAAACAGATTGCCAGAGAGTTCCTGGGGATTCATCGACACTCTTTTCTGTCTTTGCGGTATTATTTATTTTCTTGGTTTACATTTTCAGTTGTATTTATTTAACATGATTAGTATTCTTTTTGCTTTCGGTGAAATGTTGGGGGATAGATATCTGAATAATAATAGATGAGAATATAGGCTAAGATAAGGCTGAATTGGTAATCAGTGATACGGTTATGCACACTGGAGACATGTTTGTTCTCAGGTTTAGTAAATAAATGAGAATTGAAGTGTATATTTTTCTTTCTTCTCCTATATTTTCTCAGTGATCAAGTGGAGCGTCAATTTATTCCCACAATGGTTATGATATCCATAAGGAATTCTTGATTGGCAGATCTTTGACGGGCATAACGGTATATCTGCTGCTATCTTTGCAAAGGAAAACATACTAAGTAATGTTTTGAGTGCAATACCGCAAGATATCAGTAGGGATGAGTGGCTTCAAGCTCTGCCTCGTGCTCTAGTTGTTGCTTTTGTAAAAACTGACATAGAGTTTCAGAAAAAAGGTACATTTTCAGAGTTTTCTTTGCATCCCAATCAAAGTTCTCCATCTGCACTTTACCCAACCTTTTAATTCACCTGCAGGGGAAACTTCTGGAACAACAGCTACATTTGTTCTGATTGACGGATGGACTGTTACTGTTGCATCTGTTGGGGATTCCCGTTGCATATTAGATACTCAGGGCGGTGTTGTTTCTCTATTGACAGTTGATCACAGATTGGAAGAAAATGCAGAAGAGAGGGAACGTGTTACTGCCAGTGGTGGTGAAGTAGGAAGACTGAACGTATTTGGAGGCAATGAGGTATATTGTAATCTTCATATTCCTTTCTAATCGATGGCTTTTTAACTAGTCTGTTTTGGTTCCGCAATACATTTTATAGGTGGGGCCTCTTCGCTGCTGGCCTGGTGGATTGTGCCTTTCAAGATCAATTGGTGATACGGACGTGGGAGAATTTATTGTTCCAATACCATACGTTAAGCAAGTGAAGGTAAGCTGGTTTCATTTAATAGTCTTAGTTTATTGATCGATGATCTATTTTATGTGGATGTGTTTAATTCTAAATTTCAACACCCACGATATTCTATTACTGGTTTTCCAGCTTTCAAATGCTGGTGGAAGACTTATTATAGCATCTGATGGCATTTGGGATGCTTTATCTTCGGAGATGGCTGCCAATTCATGCCGGGGTCTACCTGCAGAGCTTGCTGCAAAGCTGGTGGTTAAGGTGATGGTTAATTTAGGGAGTCTTACTATTTTTTCAGGAATGGGTGTGCCGTTTATTCTCTACTCAATGCTCTGTGTGCTTGTTTTTCTTCTTTTCAACAGGAAGCTCTTAGGTCAAGGGGGCTGAAGGATGATACAACTTGCCTCGTTGTAGATATTATTCCGTCAGATCATCCTGTATTACCAACAATTCCAACAAAGAAACATAGTATGCTAACTGCCCTTTTATTTGGAAAGAAATCACAAAACTCTACAAACAAAGGTACCAGTAAGCTTTCTGCTGTTGGTGTAGTGGAGGAATTATTTGAAGAGGGTTCTGCTATGCTTACTGAGAGGTAACTCAGATTGTAAATACTAAATTTATATTTGCATGCTGTCGTTTGAAGTTTAATAACTGCTTTACCTTGTCACCTACGCGGTGGATAGTGAGAACAAAAATGTTTCCTTTTTCAATACATTTTATCTGTGATACTTAATTCTGTTTTCTTAAAATGCAGATTGGGTAAGGATTTTCCATCTAATATGAATTCTGGAATCCGCTGTGCGGTTTGCCAAGCAGATCAACCCTCTGGAGATGGTTTATCAATGAACACCGGGTCCTTTTTTTCTCCAGTATCTAAGCCATGGGAAGGTCCGTTCCTCTGCACAAACTGTCAGAAGAAGAAAGATGCCATGGAAGGGAAAAGGTCTAGCAGGCCCTCAGAGACAGCATAATAATACAGTATTCTAGTAACATAGTAAATATTAGTATAATTTTTCTCTGGCAGTGTGAGCATGCTTGCTTTCTACATTTGGGTGGTGATTGTCAAAGGTGTGTAAAAATGAGGTGGAGATAGCCAGATTAGGTCTATTGGAGGTTGGTGCAAGTTTCTTTTGGTTGTGTGCTCTGCTGTTGGACTGACTGACAGAACAATGAATGTTGTCTAGTAGATAACTTCTAATAGTTTGATACTAACGACCTGTAAAATTAAATGACAATATCATGGTTTCCTCTTTGTAGAGTTGTCTTCAACAGAATGCTTCGTATTTGCTTCGTCTTCATGTTTGGTTGTTAAACAACAGGATGCACAAAATTTATTTATTTATTTATTTTTATTCAAAAATAATGTTGAAAAAATATACAATTTTAAGAATTAAACATGAAGGACTACATTTTAAAGGAGGATAAAACATTATAAATTTGAACAGAGTTGTGTGTGACCCCGTGAGTACAAGTTTCTATTATGTGAGAAATATTGTAAAAGATATGTATAAGAAACCCTCATTAGGACATGCTGATATGATTTAGGAAGAATCTTAAATTTCAAGATCCGAGGCTTGTATAAATCTTGAATCTCAAGAAAAAAAATTAACTATAATAATTAAATTAACTTTTTAAGTTATAAAAATTGAAATTGAAATAAAAAAAATTATAATATATAAATTTCATAAGACTTCAGTATCGAAACAAAATTTATAAGAGGGTCTTAAAAATGTTGTAACATAGTAAAATCCACTTAAAATAATATCTCAGTATATTCTTACATCCCGTAATACTACCAACTGAGATTTATTAAAATAACCATTATGTAAAATTCATTTTTAATGATCTCCTTGTGGAGAGTATTTAACTAACTCTCTTCAACTATTAACTGATGAAAGAAAGTGTATTAGAAGGGATTAGAGTCTATATCTATCTCCTCTTATATAAAAATGTACAATTTGATTTCTATGGACTAAAAACTAGGGCTGGATTTGGATTGTCTCCAATTGCAAGTAGGTATGTTTCCGGCATTTTAGTATTTCCATTGAGTGAGATTCACGAAATACATTTTAGTCCTACACTGCAGGGTTGGCACCATCGATTTGGTTAACAGGAAATTTAATAGCAATCATGCACAAAATGCTTCAATTTATCATATTTAGTTATGCATTATTCTAGTTTTCACACGTAATTGTAGTGGAAATGCCAAGTTCTCCAGAAATTATTGTATGTAATCCGAGGCAAGAAATAGCACTCATAATCTTAACCCCATCTTTTGAACAGAATTTTGATAGACCTCCTATGTCTATCAAAATGTTAGCAGAAAAGTTAGGACATTATGAAAATAAAAATTCCAGCGTGTAGTATTTAGATTCAGTCCAAGTTTCTGAGATTTCCAAGATCCCAAAGGCGAAATTTAAACAATTTCTGTTTGTAGACTTATTTGTGCATATTACTAAAACAGCCGTAAACATACAATTCCCCTCGACCATGAAATCTCTCGTTAGTCACGAAAATGATTACAAGTGACAGGCTGTCATTTCATAGATTAGCAAACTTTAAGTAGAACTATATACTTCCAAATTATAGTGGATTAGTAATATTCATACCCAAACTAAAATTAATCGACGCCATAAATATGTTCTTCTACACCTCATCCATAACCATGGGAAACTGGAATTCAGAATGCTAAAGAATATATGCGAAAGAATAAAATCAAACCAAAGCATTCATTACAAATGCTGCCTCAAGAGCTAAGATAAGTAGATGCTTCCGTTAAATGTTCTCCATTTGCTCAAAAATAAGTCCTGCCAGCATATATTTATTTTAGTCAGGTACAACACCAGTCAATAAACAAACTTCGATCTTAAAGTTAAAAAGTAATGTAGCTGTGATTTCGGGTGTAAATGAGTCAAATCAAGCCTATTGTTTGAAGTTCAAGTTTGGGTTGTGAAAAAAATAAATAAATAATAAAGTTTAGCTCATTTATTTAAACAAATCTAACAAATTTGAGCTTAACTTGTTTTGAAAAAGAGTTTGAACTTGTCTTGTATAGTTCATTTACAACTAAAATTTTACTTTTATGATTTTTTTTTCAAATTAATCAATTTAGTAAAGATGTTAAAGATTCGATGATAAACTATAAATTGAAACATATGCTCAAGATGTGGCATGGAATTCAAACATTCTAGACTACTACATTTTCATAATCCATTAAATAACAAATTCATAACTAGCAAAAGCAGAAGTTCAAAAGCTAATATTAATGCTCAACAAAATTCAGCATATTACCATAATGAATATATAAGTAAAAAAAAGGCTAGGAAAATCCCCATCATTAATTTAAATAAACAAGTTATTGCAACAGGGTATTGTAAAGATTAGACTTAACTCATTCTAATAATTGAATCCAATATCCAGCTTAAGTTTGTTTATTTCATAACACACATACAAGCTTGATTGAGCACAAGTTGAATTCGAATAGTTGACTAATAGCTCAACTTATTTACCCAACCCATAAACCACATTTAAATTCTGAAAAAAAGTTACCTAGTGTGTAGAAACAACTATTTCAAGCATGTCATTAGCATCTACAGTTAAAAGAACTTACGCATTTTATCCACGGAAGTTTTCTCAATGCTCTCTCCACTCTTGATGAGGCGAATTCTCCCTAAAGAGATAACATAAAAAGTGTCAATATGCAAGCTACAAGTTTGAAAAGTTAAGAATTAAAAAAGAAAACACTGATATCAATTTTAGCGAGTTTAGAATCCTTTAAACCCATTGTGGTCCATACTCATGTGATGTTAACCCTGAAAGTAAAAAGAGAAATGCACTGTTTCCTGTCTCCTTTTTAAGTAAGATAAAATCTGCCTTCCCATGCTAAGAAAACTTATTTGGCCTCTCAAAACTGAAGTTCTATTGCAAGAAATATGTAACAAAACATTTTTGTCCGCAAATTAAATAAGCTTAGATAAGGGAACAATTGTTTTACAACAACTAGGTTAACATTGATGACAAGAAGCTATTCTAAATTGGATTCAGCTTAAATTTTGGATAGTAACCACCTTTCCCCCAAGAAAAATAAAATCCCTTTGGCTTTTAAATTGAACTTAAGTATTTTATACCCCTTTTGACTGCAGAAGCAAGTTAGTGCATCCTTTACTTCATCACCAACCTCCCCCAAGGGGACACAAGTGAGTGCATGCACAAATAAATGTGGTCAATGATTCTAAACTAGTAAGAGACATTAAGGTAACATAACATGAACCTGTATAATGTCCAATGTCCACAAGAGAGAACTTAATGTCAGTTTGTCTTTCAGAAAATGCTACTTGAGAAAAAATGCATATAAGTTGGCATACCATCACGACGAACACATATCTCTGGAATGCTTTTAACTTCACCATTGATGCTATCATTATAAACTCTGGTCTCAATGTCACCCTCAATATAAACTGATGAGCTGCGTCAAAATATCAAGAATGAGTTGAACGTTTACACAATTAAAATAAAATATTCTCTTATACAAATACTTACTTTTTAAAGAGTTGCTGCACTGCGTAGGCCCCCAGTATATCATTATGCACAGCAATCCGATGCCATTGAGCAGGCTTTGGCAAATCCTTTGGTCCTACAATTCTCTGGTCAAACATACCCCCAGTCCCAACTGTAAAGATTGTTACATTTCTACCACTCCTCAACATCTTTTGTACAGGGGCCTGGCCAACTTTGCCACAAATAATTGCCTGCTCTACCACATTGGTCGTATTATTTGCCAGGTGCAACACGCAAATATTACATAAATTGTCATTTTGAACTTAAGAACATCAGCAAACATAAAATCTTGTTTTTTATACTTTCTTCTCTTTAAAGTCTCAAGCTGTGTAGTGATAATGTCTTTCTATTGGCTCCAGCATGACCATTGTCTAGAATAAATTCAATTCATACAAACTTGTAAAGTTACTGGCTTTGATAATAAACAAATAAAAACTGCATTCCTCTTCAATCCTTGTGTCGGAAAAACTTTTACTCAGTCATAAATTGAGTTCACAGATAATAAGTTTTATGTCGTTACCATATCAAAATTCCATCCTAGAGATGTTAACAATAATAATCCATCAATTAACAACATCGAATACCTTGTGCACACCACGAAATTCCCAACCCCTCTTGGGATCCACACCTTGCAGTCGTAGCTCGGGCCTTCCACCAATAAAATCATCCAACTCTTCTTCCAATTCTTCATTATTTAGTCCACCATTATCATGTGAAGGCTGATCATCTTCACCTCCAGATGGAGACGTCGAGTACCACAACGTTTCGCTTCTCGACACACCACCTGTTTTGTTCATCAACAAAGCCACAGCTAAGCAGCACACATCCAATATGTTCGTATGTCAACGACAACAAAATTCTCATTTGAACAAAAATTATGACCAGCCAATATATATTTAGTGAAAGAGAAGTTACTTCAGACGATTCAACGAAACACAGTGACGATATAAATGCATTTGTTATTACGCTTAGAGCAGAACCACATTAATTTGATGTTATAGGATACGAAGAAAACCGAATGAAAGAAACGAACCGAGGGAAGATGAGGTCAGAGCAGAGACTCGGAGATGCTTTGCAAGTCTCACCGCCACAGAATTCATTTCCGGCAACAACGAGCAAAGGCGAACCACCGCAAGGGTTTGCCCAATTACTCCTTCCTGAAAGCACGTTGTGGGTTTATACTATTGGGCTCACTTTGTATGGGTCCGGCCCATTTCTTAGGGCTTCACATTACTATAAAAATAATAAAAATCATCTATTGTTGAACATTTTTTATACTTAAAAATAATCTATTTTAATTCTTGTAACATTATTTTAAAACCTTTTTGAAAACATCAATAATGCATGATGTGTTATAACGAGGTGTATATCTTAGGTTTAAAATTGGTCAGTATGCTCCTAAAGAATTCCATTATATTGGGTGTTAGTGTTTATACATTTATATGGTATATAGAAACCATATAAATTGGTATGTGTATTAACTAAAGTAAATGAGGTAAAGATTATATAATCAAAGGGATAGTGATTAAATAAATAAATAAATGAAACTCATTCCGAGTTTGTTTTTTCAAATTAGTTTATTAAAGTAAGATATGAGTTTTTTGAACAAAACATTTATAAATTTACTAGTAGAAAAACTCCATTAGTTTTGTTCCTTAAAATATTTTTTACTGTAGGTTTTCACATACATGCAATATATTAGGCCCGCTGCACGAACTTTCCGGCTCCCACGTTCCTGTTAAATTTTGGTACCCACTAATCCCATATTATTAGTGCTCCACTCCAAATGTTTCTTCTAAGTTGGCTCAGCCTGTAACTGCTATCTCCTACCTCATTCCTTGAGGGCCGTCAGTAGTTAAGTATTAAGATTTCCAGGTCACAAAAATGCAGATAAAGTTTCACTCTCTCGTCAAAGACAAAGCAAATGCTAGTGGTGATGGGAGCGATAACGGGGTTACAAGGTTTATGCGTGGAAGTCAACTCGCAAGGAAAACAGTTTGGTCGGCTTTCTCTTGTGTCCTTGGAATCAAGTCACCACCTGGCAAGCATGCTTCCAAAGTGAAGAAAAATGAGCCTTTTGATGACTCAGGAAACAGAAAAGCATGGAACACAAATGGAAAGGCATCATCTTGGGAGGAACCAGTTGAAGCTGCATTATCTCAACTTCTTTCACTAGAGGAGACTGATCGATCAGGTTTAGGAAGGGAGAAGAGCAATAATAGGCAAGATGTGAAAATGAAGCTTCCTTTGTTGAGTTTTCTAGATAAGAAGAAAGGATGGAACAATGATGGTGTTACCAGGTTCGGACAAGTGAGGAGGAAATTAAGCTTACGCTACTTGTTCAGGATTCCCTCCAAAATACTGGTCTTTCGCCTCAAGTTGAAGTTGACAAGGTCTCAGTTTAAAAAGAAAGCAACAAAGCAGTTTGAACAAGAAGCTGATGAGGATGAAAATGAAGACAGAGATCTATGCAAGAAGAGGATTCTGATGGGAGGGAGATGCAGGCCGTTGAGTTCGCCAGGTTACAAAGAGATATATAGTTCCGGGACAAGGGCACAACGCTATCCCTGATCCCCCCATCTGAGAGCTGCTTGGCTTGGATTGCTGCCATCTATTTTCCTTTTAACATATCCTTTAGATATATATCATATTATAATTTTCTTTTTCATTGTTAATATTGTTCAGAATAGTTCGTATGTTGGCGTTTAGAATGTCTTCTTTTGTACCCGGTAATCGGTTTTCCACTCATCATTATCCTTCTCTTCCTTTCTCTCGAGTAAATCTAACACTTCTCACTCCGGAAAGAACGAGCATTGCATTTTTTGTCGAAGAATTGGCAGTAGAGTGAAACCATGCCTGTGGCAACTTAAGTAGGGAGTTAGAATTTAACTATTAATTTTTCCATTGCATGTTGAAGGCCACTGTATAATTCTTTATTTCAATTTGTTTTATTAAATTACCCTAAATTTAAAACTTCTCTAGTGAGCAATTATTTCACCCAAAATCCACAAACGCATGCTGGCGATAATTAATCCATAAATTTGATAAAGACATGGCAGCTGCAGTTAGAATTTCATACAGCAGGCTCCAGATATGGTCTCATCAAAATAAAGATACACGTAGGTAAAAAACTTGTCCTTTTGACTCGATAACTGCCAATCTGAGATGTACACAAAAAGCAGGCAGCATCTAGTCCCACAAAGTAACATGGAATTTACCAACTTTTGTTTTGGGATCTTCAGTGGTTTCAAACATACACACAGACCAAATTCATGTCACACTGCCCAGATCAGACCTTCAGTGGTTTCAAACCCAGGGCTGCTCGGAGCTTGTTCGCTTCTGCAATCTCTGGATCCGGGTGGTCAGTTCCATCATCCTTCTTTTCTTTCTTTTCTTTCTTCTCCTTCTTCTTCTTTGGCTCACCATCCTCAAGTCCATCTCCATGTCTTCTAGGGCTTACACTACTCCTAGCATGTCTCTTTCTGTAGTCTCCACCATCATGTTCCTTGCGATCCCTACTCCTACTTCGACTCCTTGAGTGGCTCCTTCGCCTTCCCCGGTCCCGATCCCTCTCTCTCCTCTCCCGCTCCCTGCCCTCTCTCTCACGACCATAATCTTTTTCATCCCTTAGACGATATCGATCCCTCTCCCTCTCCCTATCTCTGTCTCTATCTCGACCCCGTCCCCGGTCTCGATCATAATCTCTGTCATAGTCACGGTCCCTATAAAATAACATCCAAACGTGAGTTTGATAAACCAAGAATCACAAATGACGAAACATGTCCATTTTCAAAACAATCGTAATGCTTTCACAACAAAAAACTTGCAAGCAATTCTGTTCCAAATTGTTCATTCACATCTGGATGGGATTGGGATCCCAAACGAAAATGCGTGAAGAGAAAGTACGATTAATGGAGCTTTTCATACTGCTCTAGGATTGATGGAGCAACGATAAAACTTCACCCAATGTTCTTTCTAAAGGTGTCTATTTTAGATATTCAACAATAATTTCATAGGGCAAACGAAAAGCATATGGGGACAACATATCAAAGGCGTGCAAACCAATAGTTGTAATAACCAAATTGACAGTCAAGAACACTAACATTCCAGTTAAAAATGAAAAGACGATTCAATAAACATTAAAAACTGAACTAAACTCTTCAATAAATAAGACAATATTCGTGGAGAACCATCTACCGATGCAACATAACTGTTTGATCCATCATACTTCTCGCTGCACACTGTCAATGCAGAGAAACCTGGCAGGATCATTGAATCTTACTATAGGAAGCAGTTGTATACCACTGATAGCTCTGAATGCAAGAGTGGAAATATAAGTGTAAACTTGCACAAATTGAAAAAACAGCTTCCAGCATAATTTATTCCTCTGTTGTAAATAAAGCTCAAAGTTTTCCTAGAATCACATTATTTAAAGAAAATTATATTTGATTTGAGGCTTTAGACCCAGCAGCCTTGATACACCCCTACACTACCAAAGAAATTGATAAAAAAAAATGCAAATTGAAGGTACCAGAAACGCCTTTTCAATGCCAAGGATTAACATCGACATCAATCTTTACAAAACAGTTGGAAAGGCATAACAGTACCTGTATCTATGACTATCACGTCTTCTGTCCCTATCTCTTTCCCTGGTAGGGCTGCGCCCACGATAATAATCCTACAAATCATTCAGTAAGTATACCAAAACATTATAACTAACATTTATTTAACATTAAAAAATGAAGTGAAGAATATATCTCATGATTGGAAAAAAAGAAAGGGAGGTACCTTCTCATAGGCCCTATCCTCAATCTCATCAACAGGCTGGTCATTATCCTCTTTCTCCTCTTCCTCCTCAAAATCTTCTTCAAGCGCACTTCGTCTAGGTTCCAATGAATCCAAAGATTCAAGAGTCCACCTATATAGCAAAGAAGAAGACTAAACATCTTAACACCCCAAAACTCTTGTAATCTCCATCAACTTCACAGACCCAAGAAATTATAACTAAAAGATGTCATCATAAAGACCAATTTTATACACAGCAAAACAACCACGTAAATTTGCTCAAAGCTCAATAGCAAATAGAGTGTAGAGACCTTCTAAAACTGAAAGAAAAACCGTGCAGATACCTTTTCTTGACGCGAGGCAAAGCAATATCACAGGAATAATCTGTTGTGAGAAGTTCATCGATGACCTCATCCACATGCGTCAATGTAAACTCTGCAAATCAAGAGAAACAATTTAGCTTCACAAGCGAGCAACTAATTGATAACAAACGAACGATAATTTATTTGAAACCCACGTCCATCAGGTAACTTTCGCCGGAGTTTGCGATAGTCATTGTACAAGGGTTCGAGGTAGCGGTAGACGTCAATATCTGATCCAGTGAGACGCAAGTAAAACGCGCCGAGTATCCTAACGTACTTGTAATCCTCGTTCTTGATGAACTCGATGACGATTTCTTTCTCAGGTTGAATCTGGAGCATCTTCATGACCAGACACATGAACGGCGTGGGTTTTCGGTTGCCGCCATAGGTTCCGCCAAGGTGGTCGAGCTCCATGGCCTTGTCCACCAACGTCTCCGCCGTTAACCCGAAACATTGCTCCTTCCAGTACGTGTTCTGATAGATCTTGGACCGGAGAATCTTCTCCACCAGGTTCTGAGGGTTCGTCCCTCTTATGCTCTTCGCTGCTGGATCCGTGCGATTCGCCATCGATTACGCACAAATGCACGTCGTTGGAATTCAGTGACATAAACCCTAACCCTTTTCAAGATCAGGTCCAAAGACCAGGACCAAGAAAGATTAGTGGCATGATGGAGTGTATTTTTATTTTATTTTTTCCCTAAATATAAGAGATTTTAATCTTATTTTAAGATAGTATTTTTTAAAATATATATATTAAATAAGAATCAGTATCAAATCAAAGGGCATTTGGTCTAGTGGTATGATTCTCGCTTAGGGTGCGAGAGGTCCCGAGTTCAATTCTCGGAATGCCCCTTTTATTTTTTAATTTGAAAAATAATACTTTAATTTAAGTAATTAAAAAAGTTTATACTATATTAATGAATTAATAAATAACTTTTCCTTTTAACTATGCTATTCTATCATGGTTAATAAAAAATTATATCGACTATTTCATTAATAAAATATACTTAAATTTTAAATAAGATCAATAATACCAAACTATATATAATTTAGATGTCAACAACCAAATATGTAATGCTTTCTTTAATCTTATCACTATCAAAGTTTTTTTATTTTAAGTAACCGTTAATATGATAGATTTTGTTTGAATCATTATATTAAATTATGGTAATATAACTTATAAGTGAGTCTAAATATCATATTTTTAGTCATTTTATAAGATTGAGCTTTTGAAATATATCAGAATTTATCCTAACTAATTTTGACGAGCCTACATATCTAAGATTTTGTATGAGATTTTTTTTTTTTTTTGTATGAGAATATATTTTAGAGAGATACGATCGAAATATACTCCATAAGTGAACGAGTGTAAATCTTAAACCTTATAAATTGTGAGTTAAATTAAATTTGAAATCTATTTTCTAATAGATTTTAAGAAATTCATTGATCTATTTTTACTAATTTAAAAAAAAACTGATTCATACTGATAAAAGTTCCATTCAATATATCCATTAACAATTTTTTTTTTCAAAAATGGATATTCAGTTAATCTATAAAGATAATTATTTTTAAAATAAATTTCAAAACAAATTGTAGAACAGAACTTAAAATATATTTTGAGTTTCTTTATTAAAAAGGACAAATATTTTAAAAAATTACAAAAGTTTAATTAGATTAATTTAATCTATTAAGTATTGATGAAAAGATCCATTTAATTTTGAAATTATATAAATAAATAAATAATTAATTATCCACAAAATTAAATGAAGTGATTTGATTCTCAATCATTTATTTTATAATTTTGTAAGTACTGATAAATTGACAAGGCAAGGAAAATTGATTGATACGCATATAAGCAAGAACAAGAACATTACAGCTATATATAAACAATAAATTTGAGTTAACTAGAATAAATTAAGTTATACACCAGAGTACATCTAAGCATTTAGCATTTTATGTCAAATTCTGACCTCTGATATTGAAGAGACATATTGGTGAATCAAAATCTAAACATCTAAGATGATAAAATTACAGATGAAAAGAACTACACTAGTATAATACAATTGATCTCATCTTTGAGCCTGATCAGCAGTGTGGTTGCTGGTTGTAGATGATGATGCTGTCCGACCATTCAATATTCCATTGTCCATAGGTGGGGAGGACCCCCATTTACCCTCTGATTCACTTGGTTCTATCACTTTCACAGATCCATCCGTCAACCCAACAGCAAACTGGTTTGGTTCTAGTGGATGAGCCGCAACCACAAGAGGATACAAAGATGGACTTCTGCAATACACAAAGCTCCTACCCTCAAATTTTGCAAATGCATATAAAAAACTCACCATGCACCCTTTTCTGAGGAAGGATGGTTTTGTTTGTTAAAAAGCAACAGATTATTGATGATTTTAATGCTGAATCCATTTTAATATCCATAAATTGAAACAGCAACTACTTTGTTGTATTAAATTACTAAGCAAATTTTTACTGCATCATTTTACAAGCGCAAGTACATGAGAAAATGTTTAGGCAATACATACTTTTATTATTAGGTGAGGTGTGTGGCGTAGGTTATTTAGTGTTGAGAAGAGTGTGTTATTCGCTTTAATATAATAAAGATTAAATTGAGTCCAATTTACTGATCTGAAACTTACCCATTTAAAGCTGCAGGTGACAAGCATATTGACGGTGCAATACGACATCTAAGCCTCAAGCTATCAGCATCAAACACACCAATGTTGGCATCACAAAATGTAGCATATATTAACTGACTGTTGCAGGAATAAGCTGCATACGATATGGGGGCATGCAGAACATCTTGGGGAACCCACTGCAGCAAAGGAATTTATGAGCATCTAATTTTTTATTTTGTCAGCAACCAGCAGCTTCATCAATATCGAAAGAAATTTCATACCTGCCGAATGCGTTCCATCTTAGAGGCGTCATATATTGCCAACTGAGTCTCATGAACTACTAATAAACGAAGTTGATCAGAATGGAATTGTACGCGTGTATCACCGACAGGTGACTTTCCTGCTGGGAGTTGTATTGGAATTGATTTTCTTTTCTCCCATGTATCAATGCTCCACACACAAAGCTGAACAAAATAATAGAACTTTTTCAAACCCGAAAAGTAAAAAATTTGAGCATTGAAAAAATGTAAGAGGTGCAAATACAAGTAAAACACAGGTGTACTTAAACTCTAGCTACCAAAAAAAAAAAAAACGCAAGTTATCAAGTGCAGCAAGCCAGCAAAATATAAGAGATCCACTTTCAAAAGTTTTTCACTCCACTTCGAATACTGTATGGATGGAAAACAGTTAAAAGACTTACTTGAGCATCAGCACCAGATGAAACCAGTATGTTAAGATTTGTTGAAAAAGCTAAACCAGTAATACGCTTCTGGTGACCCTTCAATTTTGATTTCACCTGGACCATAACCCCAAAAGGGAAAAATGTGGTGTGAGATTATTAGAAATAATAGTGTAAGTATCAAAACAAGGAAACTAGTCAGAGATAGCAATCACCTCATCCACTCTAACATTATAGATGTGAATGGTTGAATCCTCCATCCCAATGGCAATAATGTTGTTATCCTGGGGATGGAAAGCTAGGAAGGTCGAAGCAGGAGGTGGAGGCATGAAAGTTGTCATTACCTACAAAAAAGTAATCAGTAAACTTAACAAATGAATGGAATGCAAGAGTTGTAGATCCGGACACACACCTTGAATGTCATCATGTTAAATAGGGAAACCTTTCCACCACAGGCAGACAAAACGTACGAGTCGTTTTTTGAAAGTGCAATGCAAGGGACAGCTTCTTCAAGGTTGACACCCGAGATATCATTAGTCATGAGAAGACCACTGTTGGGTTGCCAATGCTGAGGAACAACATTGGCAGTAGCCTGTAATCATATTAAAATCAGAATTCTGTTCTCTACTGAAAGGAACAAACAAATGAAAAGCATAGAGAAAACAAAGAACCGAAGGGGAAACTATGTAAATTAATTATTTGCTTAAGACTACCTTCCCGGTAGGATTCTGTTCATTGCGAGCCCATTTCCAAAGCTTCTGGGTACCATTTGAACCAAGTGCCAAAATACCAACGCCAGAGTTTGTGTACAAAAGTCTAACAACCTATGCATGGATCAGAGTATTAAAACAGTGCACAGAACACAGTGTGCAATAGAATAATGGCAATCCCATATAAACAACAGGTAACACACCTTGCTGGATGAATCTGTGCTTTCAGGCATGGTAACTGACCGACATTGGACAGGATCCAGAATTTCAGATAGTTGCCATGGTTTAGCAGCTCTATCTATTACATCTTCCACAGTTCTTGGTTTCTCTACACTTCGGCTCATGGGATCAACTCCATTCTTGATTGAAAAAGTCAAAATTAATATATGTGCAAACAAGTGTTCAGATGCAGTAAATAATGCACAATACATATACAACTTAGAGAAGGTATAAATTGGCTAAGTTATACCACAGAGGACTACAAGCGCCAAATTATAAATAGAACAGATTCATGTATGCCTTTCGGATCTAGTGGTAGCACAAAAACAGTACGTGTTCTCCAAAAAGTGGAAAGTAGAAGTATCCAAAAGGTGGTCCTCCATTGTTTGCAAGGGTAATGTATTATCGACTTAAGCATACTATAAGAAAGAATAAAAGGATCAAAATACATCCCAAAAGCTAGAGTGTGTGTAAAGAAATGAAATAACTATCAACATCATTGTTCTAACATCATAATAATGAATTAATGATTATTAAATTCACAGGGTTAGGTTCATACAAGAATTGGAGAAGGCCTGACAGGGGAGCTTCTTTCCACTTTACAGTTGACAGGACTAACATTAACAGTAGATGAGCCAGATACCTACACAGCAGCACAAACAAAGTAGACAGTAACACATACATATCTAGATCTAAACAATGGCATACAAGGAAAAATTTGAAGTGTATCACTACCTTAATTGCAGTTGATTCAAGGGGTGACCTCAATGCTTCAAATCCTGGAGTTTCAATGGTTCTTAAAGATCTAAGACCAGAAGCATTAGAAAGTATCTTGAATCCATTATCGGCGGTAGTAACAGCCAGAATATTTCCTTCCTTGTTGAATCTCAGTCGTGGAAGGCTCTGAAAATATTCATATAATTATATACAGGATATTTTATTAAGTGTCATGTTCCACGAGACATAGTATAGTTAACCATAAATACAAACCTGCAATCCTCCATCTGCATCAGTGCTTATAACAAGATTAATATTGTCCATGTCCCAAAACTTAACTTGACCATCTTCACCTGCAGCCAAAAAGCGGTTTTGGGTTGTGTCAAACTGCACAACACCAGCAGATTTTTTTCTAAACCCATTGTACGTTCTCTTGATGGCTCCTTCACTTTCATTCCATTCAACAAGAAAAGACTCTCCCTCTTTACTTGTCCCACAAGAAAATAGCCTGGAGAAAGATTGAGAAAAAAAATTGGGAAGATATTTTAGTTAACTTCAATATAATACATCTTAGGAAACCATTGAGCATGACACTTAGAGGAATAATTAACC